CACTAACCCTCCTGATGATACTGCTGCTACACTGAATGAAACTATTTAATCATAGACATTGCTTCACCTGCTTTTCCCCTTTTCTGTGTTTAAATATTTTATACTAATGTTAAAACCTTATTCTCTGTTCATTTTGCTTGTGTTACTGTTTGCTATCCGGTGTCAATCAGAGGAGGATGGGTTCCCCTTTTTGAGTCTAGGTTCCTTTCAAGGTTTCTTCCTCCTGCTCTTAGAGAGTTCTTCCTTGCCACTGTCGTGTTGGCTTGCTCATGGGGGGTTGGACCCAGACTTTTTCTGTAAAGCTGCTCTGCAACATTGCATGTTATAAGAAGCGTTATATAAATAAATAAACCTTGACTAGGTTATAGCTCTGATGTTAAGGGGCTAAAAAATGAGTAGCACAAACACTTAGTAGCAAGTAGAGCAATACACGTTTAATTATTTTAAAAAAGTCAAGGATTTTTCAAATTGGATGAGTAATGGATGCTGGTACAACACGGAACTGGTACAACACTGGATGCTGATGAGGCCTAATCGTCTTACAGGTACTTTCTCCTCAGTGGATTAGTCACCGTTTAAGGACCTAGCTAACAGTTAGTTAGCCTAGTAACTCTTCATGCTGTAATGTGTAAATCTGATGCATTTTTCAATACAGCAAAAAAAAGAAGTGGCTGAAAATATGCCTGATGTTAATATGTTAATGTTTCCATTTTCAGTTTATCAGAGCTTTCAACATTATAAAAGTACAATATTTGAAACAAAAGATGTGATATACAGTGCTCTGATCTTATGCTCCTGCCACAAGCTAATATGTTAGCTCCAAGCTAACATGCCAGTCACGTTACAAGGATACAGTATGAAATGGTGTGATACAAATCAAGATGATATGATGTATTGTTACATCCCTAATAAACAACCCCTGTGACTGTGCTAAAGGAGAAGGATGTTGAAGGTATCTGCATCTATATACAGACCTTTTTATACCCACCTTAACAGGTTCATGAGTAATGGGACAAATTAACACAAATTTGTCATGTTTAGTGTTTTCGCAGTTGATAACTGCCTGAAACAGCAAACCAAAGACACCACCTGTTCTGCAGCATACGGTACTGCTGCATTTTCGGTTCCTGCTTGTTTTGTCTGCTTTTTGCCTTCATTCTAGTCTTCAGTAACTGAATGCTTGATAATGGGGTTCAGGTTGGGTGACTGACCAGGCCAACCAATTACATTCCACTTTCTGGCTTTGAAAATCTCTTTTAGTAATATGGTTAGAGTCACTGTCCTGCAGCAAGCCGAAATACCATCTGCTGAATTTTGAGGTGATTAGATTTGAGCAGTTAAGCCATTTCTATACACTTCAGAATTCATCTAAAAGCACTTTATCGATAAAGACATGAGTGAGCCAGATACAGTGGCAGCCACACATGCCCATGTCACCATGTTTCACAAATGATATGATTTGCTTTTGATCATGAGGAGGTTCCTTCTATTCTCAACACACTTGCTTTCGTCACCCGTACAGGTTAACTTTCACTTCAGAGGGTTTTGTCTCAGAGCTCCCAGAAGCTTTTATGTAATTTTTACGTAATGTATAACTTGGCCTTTCTTTTCTTGAGGCTTAGCAGTGGTTTGCATCTTATGGTGAACCCTCTGAAGTCATGCTGTTTCATTCTTTGCTTTATAGTCTTTGATAGAGCTATGTACTTAACAGTCCAGTTTTTATCATGAAAGGTCTTTTCTTTCATCCACTGATGTGGTCTTCCCTGCTCTGACAGGTTGTCTGCTGTTGCTGAGTTCACCAGCATAATTTTGTGCGTCTTAGCTACGTAAAAACACACCTAATGCTCTGGGCATGTCTCTGACTGATTTATTCTGATTACTCAGACTTATGATGTTCTTTTTTTCTGACGGGTTTTAAAGCACTGATTGTAGCTCATAGAGACAATTTCACACCACACTTTTATCTTTTACACTGCAGTTCATACTATCACACTGCACTTTATCTAGCTTTTTTAGATACAATTTATTTCAATTGAACTTTTTCATAATCACATCTTTCTCATAATCAACTTTCTTTTATTTTTTCATTTTATTTGTGCAGCACATTGAATTGCATTGTGTGTGAAATGTGCAATAGAAATAAACTTGGTTTGTCATGCTTTGCCTTTTTTGGGCCTAACCCAAGCCCAATGGGGCCCAACATGATATCAGGTATTGGGCTGGGTTCAGACTTTTGATATACAACGCTGGGCTCGCCTTAGGTTTGTTTTCTAATGAGTGACTTTTTTCCATGCAGTAGATTTATTCTTTAAATCATTTTAGGGCTGAATGATTTTGTGCCAGAATCACCATCCAGTTGGATATGCACTGCACTGCATAAACTGCACATCCACAAATGAGAGGACTGTATAGGATTCATTACCGCTGGGCTAGCTGATAGTTTATTCCAATCCTGAAGAATCATTTCAGCCACTGACGTAAGCAGGCTCACTTCAACCCCTGTGTGAACACAACAATTAATGAGGTGCTCAGAGACCAGCGGGAGGCCGATCCCTCCAGTGGCAGGCTCAAATTACCGCTCAATCACCGCAAACCTCACGTCACCCACACGCCACAACACTGGCATCTTAACCACTATCCAGCTGCCCGGCGAGACTCGACCCACCGTCAGCCTTAATGAAGGAAAACAGAGGAGTAACATAAACAAATGAGGAACAGAATCCTGACAGCACGCCACGTCCAGCAGGGACAGCGATTAGCGCTGACGATTAGTTGTTTTTCTACCCCCCTAGCATTTGTTTACTGGTCAGGTCCGCAGGCTGTGGCGATAAGAAAGCCCTACGTCAGAAACAGTGTTGTGGCTGGGGTAATTATCTGCTGCAGAGGTGACGAGTTGTGCCAGGCAGGCTGCTCGGCTGAACAATGTGAAATATCTTACAGGATCTAATTATGGGGTAGCCAGAGGTGTAATTTTCCCCTCTCGCTCCACAGCATGGGATATGAGCGCTGAGAGCAGAATACTAAATGTGCTCCATTTTTTCACTCTCTCTCTCGCTCTCCCTTCCTCCCACCCTTCACTTCAACCACGTCAAATAAACATACACAAATATAACTCCACTTTACAATATCTGTCTCTATCTCCAAGCCTCTTCTGTTCCTCTCTGTGTGAAATTTCTTTCAGATTCTGCTTGTTTGTTTCAGTTTCAGCTGGTGTGGCAGACCAGGACAGAGGGCAGAACATCATATGAAAGGTTGGCCTTTGTTGATAAAAACCCAGAGGAAGTGTAATTGCAAGTGGCTGATCACACTAAGTTTTACTGACCTCTCTGTAACTGTAGAAATGTTCTTAATACTCACATTCCTGACCCTGAAGCAATCCACAAGCCTCCACTGCCACTTGTGTAAATTGAGTAGCGTTCAGAGGTGGAAAGGCTTTTAGCTTCGGTGAGGATCTGTACTTTACTTGATTACTTCTGTAGCACCTAATAAATCAGAGCTTTAATCCAAACCTCTCTAATTTTTGAAGCTAGAGTTTAGGAAAAATAATATGAACCGTGGTGATTCCTTGCTTGCAAACACATCCCAATATAATTGGATATACAGTGCTGTGCTAAAGTCACAGAGCACCCTTTATTACTAAACTTCCACTCAAAACGGTTAGCAAGTTCCAATTAGTCATTTTTAGCATGAAGAAAAAAGCAGAAACATATTTAACAGAAAAATAAACCTCAACAACTAAATATATCACATTTCTCAGTATTTAGTGTGTCCACTCTGCCTTAATTACAGCTCCCATTCTTTTCATCAGACTTGCTTTCAGCTTTGAAAGAAATCTGCAGGGATATTTTTCCACACCTCCAAAGTTCAGTCTTAGAGGTTGGTTGCACTGTCTGCTTCATAAAATCTAAGTAATCTCAAACACGTTCAGTGATGTTGAGGTCTGACAGTCCATTGGTTTGAGAACCCCAGCAGTTTCTTTGTTCGATTTGCAAACGTACTTCTTTTTTGTGTATTTCCTTTTCTCAGTAAGGACTTCTGGACAGCTACACATCCTTTCAGACCCACAGTGTTCAGTGTCTTCTCACAGTGAAAGGATGGACAGAAACATTTGTGGATTCTTTCAGATCTGTAGTAAGAGTGGGGCTTGATTTTCTCTGCTGCTGTTTAACTGATGGCTTTGGTGGTCTACCAGGTCTTGCACAGTTGTCCCACTTTCTTTTTATCTTTTAATTTTTTATTTTTTTTTGAAATTCCTGTTTTTTTCTGTACTTTCCTTTGACATCCAACTCCCTATGCAAGTGAATTATATCTAATTTCCTCAGAAATACCTCCTGGGAAATAAATAACGTGTACTTATTGGTTTGACTGGAAATTAATTACATAAACAGTGGGTCTGACTCCTGACAGTACAGCATTTAGGGATTTTGCCCCTTCATGTTCCTAATTAAACACTGACTCAAAACCCAGCTGCCTTCTTGTTTAACACAACGCATGGCAGGTCATGCAAAACAATAAGACTCGGAAAAGCGATTTTAAAACTCACTTGCGGCAAGCCTACTGCTAGTGCCAGCACCCAGGCGCTGATACATTAGAGAGAGGCCAAAGGAAATCAATAGCAAACAGCCATTTTTGTTTACCTCAGCCATTCTGAAAAATGGAAAAGTCTTAAAAATGGATGAAAGAGCAAATGGGCAGAGGGCGATGAGCTATGGCTACGATGAGCTCAAGAGCTATGACCTACTGCGCAGTAGCTGAAGTGAAAATTACATCAAAACATTCATTAGGCTGTAGCTCAAAATCAGTGAAGTGCACTTCGCTGAGTCAGTCTGTGCATTACTGGATGATTCGATTTCGAGCTTATACAGTGTTAAAGCATATTCTAATGAAGCTACTTCAGAAGGAGGACTGTCAATTAGAAAGCCACAGGCAATACAGATACAAAGAAAGAGACAGCGGACACAGCTCACTGGATAATATCGGAGAACAGAGGGAAAACCTACAGGAGCTCTTGTAGTCCTTCTTCTTGAGCTTGCGCCTCATCATAGTGCCACGGGGGCTTGTGGGATACATATTGCGGGGCAGTGTGCTCATGTTGAGGGAGCTCAGGCTGTAGGCACTCATGGAGGTGGGCGAGAAGGACGAACCAAGAGCTAAAAGAGAGAGACAGACAGAGAGAGAGAGAGAGAAATCAGGACTTTCAGAACATCAGAGGATTCATAAAAGGACATTTTGACTCAAGGCAGCATAAAAATAACAGAACTCAGCTCACAGAGCATAGCTGTTTTTTGCAAACGTACTTAAAAACTGAGCAAATCAATGCACTTCCCCGCTCTTGTTTGATAGCGCATAAAAACGATGAGTCTGAAACTCTGATGTCAAAAACCAAACTCAAAAATACTCTCCAAAGCCTCAAAGCTGTCCTTATACAGAACCATGATCTATTCCCAAACTACAAGCCCAAATCAAAGCAAATACTGATCAGACCAAACGCTGCAAACTCAAACCAAGTGTCAAAAAATAAATAAATAAATAAGTAAAAAATGAACATATAATCCTAAACTGGCAGGATGATGCTACCCCAAATATACATTTCATTTAGCCAGCACGTCTGGCGCATGTAGAGAACAGATTATATACGCGTGTAGCTCTGTTGAAACAGTTGCTCTCTCTTGGCACAAGAAGACTCGTTTTCTTTACAACCGCTAAGCTGCACAAAGCTGCCAGAGTTTTAGCAGCAAGCTAATGAGGCCTACCGGTCCACCTGCATTCTGCAAAGGGTGAGCTCGTCCTAATCCAAATGTTAATGAATTAAAAGCATTAAGCACCTTCTAAATGTTGGATAAAGTTTCATCAAAGGGAATATTCCACTGTTTTTAAAAAAAAAATCTGCCCAATTCAAACCGTGAGGTGTAAACAAAGGCATTCAGGGTGACGTGAAATGGTTCACTGTAGAGAAACTTACAGACCAGGGGTAACACCGTCTACAATAGGTTTGAGTGGTATCCACTTGTTTCTTACCTTCAAATGGTCTTCAAATATTTGAGGTATTTGGTATTATCGTGAAGCGGGGGGACATGTTCGACTTTAAAGCACCGACAGAGATTTAGATTATAATGATTCAAAGTCTGTGTTAGTAAAGTCGAGCAACTGGTATTGCAAAGAGACAGAAAATCAAAATTAAACCTGTTCTGTCATGTTTGGATCTGTAGCTAACTTAACGCAAGTTAACTTAAGCTTAGCTAACTTAAGTTTAGCTAAGTGAGCAGGCTAAAGACCTGAGTGATGCCACACACCACAGTACAGCTTTGATTCTGACTAACTGGTGCTCTGCTGATACAAGTGTAGATGACACGGCACATAGTTGGTTTCAGCTAACTGATGTTAATGACAACCGTTTAGAGAATAGCTGGGAGCACAAAGTGGAATGACTGAACTGAATGTGTTCTGTGGTCTGTGTAGCTCTTTGTCGTCGCTGAGCTGCTTTCATGCTTAGTTTTTCCTGGCTCTGATTTTTCCCCTCTTTCTACCAGCGGCACCTAGCAGTGAGCCCTTACACTCACTTGACGCATCATAAATTTGAGTTGCAGCCGTTACTTTTGAGCACAGGCAGTATTTTTACTGTTATACCACCCAACCCAAATGCAGCTTTTCTATTTACTATCCAAAACCACCACTGATCATTCTGAGCTTTTATATGTAATGTTGATAATGGTAAAACGGCAGCAAATCTGAAAAAATAAGCTTCTTTGGGAACTATTTTGCCCTATAATGCCCTACATGTACCACTTTACCACGAATGTATTTTGAAAAATAATTTTTTTCCAAAAGATTATTTTAAAACGATCATATGTGTCAGACATCATGCAGCATATTACTAACTATCTCAAGTAACAGCTTTCTGTGCGGGAGCATTTGGAGGCATTAAATGCTTTGGATGTCTGGCTCTTATCACCACTGTAGTGAAAAATTCTGACTTACTTTCTCTAGAGTGGAGCATTTCAGAACAAACCATTCAGAATAACTTTGTTTACTCATTTTAATGACTGTGATGTACAGAAATTTAGAAAAATTTAATTAAGTGTGGGAGCAAACTTCAGCAAAACTAGACAAGGACACATTCCTTACGGGCAGAAGGTGCCACAAACAAAAGAAATGTCAAATGGAATTTGAAAAGTCAAATCGAAAGCAGCAAATGAAAGTGAGTGTGAAAAAAATGCATGACTGACACAAAGCGCAACGGGCTTATGGTAAATTATGCGTAAGCGTCTGGCAATTTGGCCAATGAAGTGGCTGCGGCTTCTTCTTTCCGGCCCTGGCGTAATGAGACGACAAGAGGAGGCTTAAGAGCAGTTAAGAACATGCACACACTGCCCTTGAAATGCCGAGAGAGCTACATGCAAGATCAATACAGCCACGACGGCTGGAATTTATAGCGATGAGCCGATTATAATCACGCAGGGGCAGGGTTTCAGGTGAAGGAGCGCTAAATCCAGGAGAAGAGCAAATGGGGGGGCGTTGTGGGAGGTGAGGAGTATCAGCAGCGACTAAACGGCTCCTATGAAAATAGATGATCTTGATAGTGTGGTATCATCCCACCTTATTAGCCTATTAGAGGACATTATTAGACCAGGGGCTCAGGCTATCAATTACAATTGACTACATGTCCCAGAAGCCCCCACAGCGTGAGGCTATAAAAGGACTCCCTGCCCCTTGGTGCATAAAGAGGCAGCCAGGCCATGTGAAGTCCAGTATCACAGCCATACAGAAGCTGAGTGAATAGCCTCTCTCAGCTCCAGGCCTGGTAAATGCCGCCTGTGTTTTGATCAGAGCAGTCTATTCTAGAGAACACTGATAAATCAAGCCACAAAAAGCAACTATACAGCCTGAGCAAAGCTCAATTGCCACACGCTTGTCTCACATTGTATCACCGCTCTGCACCTTGCCTTAATGCGCTTGCCTCTGGTAGGGAAAAAAGCTCAGCAACGCCCACGGACGGAGGATAAAGGACGAGCAATGAGGGGAGGGGGGGAGAGGGGGAGAGACAGAGAGAGAGAGAGAGAGAGAGAGAGAGAGAGAGAGAGAGAGAGAGAGAGGAGAGAGAGAGAGAGAGAGAGAGAGAGAGAAAGAAAGAAAGCGGAAAACATTCAGTAGCCTCAGTGCATTTCAGGGACAATGAGAGAGCCAGGAGTTTAGTTCTGCTCTACTTTCTCCTCAGCAGTGGAAAAAAACCACTCGCACACAACAGCACAAACGCACAACTTCAGCCAGGATAAGGGACACACATTCGACCCTCACTTTCAACATACACTGAAAACTGGCTCATCAGATCAACCTAAAAATTAAATCATATGGTAACAAGTAAATTAACTTGCTTTGTTTAAACCAAATAATGCTCTGAATGAATGATTCTTTCAATCACAGTAATTTTTTGAACTGAACTGATGAGCCATTCTTTTACAGTGCAGGAATAGTCATAAACTCATTAAAACTCCTGACAAAGTAATTAGGGGTGCATGATACATATCAACGGCCAATATTATTTTTTTTAAAAATGTATTATTGTTATAGGTTGCATATTGGAATTACAGTCAATAGTTAAAACTAGGTGGGTACACTGTAATCCCACATTTTATTTTGACCCAAATAAACTAAATGTGTCATACATAAAACTGAATATATTCCACATATTACTCAACTATTGTACGTTATGGGAACATTTTTGACGATTTCCAACATTCAAATGGCAATTTTGAGTTGAATTAACCTCTTGTAATTTAGTTTAGTCTGTTTCCATTGGCAGCTTTGAAACCGCCACATTCAAAAAATTAAACTGCACTGCTGTTGGTTTTAATAGCTTCTCTCTCATTAATGTTCCTCAACAAATGTCTATAACTGAGTGAAAGATCCAGTAGTGTATTTATACTTTCACTAGAATAAAGCTTTAGGTTACTCTGCCGTCTCGTAAGGACTGATAATTTGACATCCCATTTTTGCCTAGGCATGTTTTGATGCATGTATAGTGACTCATTATGGACATCGCCATTACTTTCAAAGATTCTTTCATGAATAAATCACTTACTGGAATGGATAGCATAGTGGATAACACCAGTGTCATACAATTCAATTCCCTGTCCAGGCAAGTAAATCACTGCTATACCAATAAGAGCCACTGGGCAAGACTCTTCACACTACATTGTAAACAGCTCTAGATATAAGCATCTGCTAAATAATTTAATATTCCCAATGACATATCCGATTTAGCTGTATTACAGCAATGTAAAACTAAACAAAGGTTTTCAGAGTTTTAACCTGTTTAACATTCACTGCATTATATATATATATGGATTATGATGTGATAAAAGTAAAATGATCAGTTACTGGTTCGTTTTTCAACCACAGGTGTTAATCGCTATCAGCCCCAGAATTCCATATCAATGCATCCCTTTAAATAATGAGCGATGATTTAACATGCACGTTAAATTTTGTGCAATTTAACAACAGATGAGTCTTGGAGTCTTGCACTGTTAAAAATCAAGACACATCTGAGAATGAATGCTTATGACACTGTCAAGTACAACAGTCCGTGCCGAATGAGGCCAAAGCTCAAGACAAGACAGGAAGAAGAGAGACGATGAGGATGAAGGGTTTAGGAGAAAGGGAAGGGTCATTACAGGGGTTGTTCGGAGAGGATTTCTGCTTGGCCTGGCTGCGGGACTGGTCGGGGTGGTAGGTGTTATAGTGCTGGGAGGGGAGGAAGTTGCTGTTGTTGTTGGTGCCGGACTCCCAGGGCAGTGGCCGGTTGCTCCTCTGCACCTTGACTGACCACACGGAGAGGAGAGAGAGAGAGGAGGTGAGCGAGCAGCACCGAACAACAGCATATACACACACAGAGTACAGTGCAAACATTTACACAGGGGATATCAGTGGCTATTTTTGTGAATTTTAAATTTTTCACGTTTCAGGGAAATTTCACCTAAAATTGTTCTTTGCCTTGATTATCTGCCACAGATATTTTGCAAAATAAAGCATGTTGAATTGTTACACGTTTACCAAAATACAGAATACATTCTCTTTTTTATTCAGTGAAACGGAACCCATTTGCAAAAATGTGTGTTGTATTTTTTTATCTTGGAAAGCAGCACATCAGCAAAAGACATTCAAAGCAAATACAATAAAAATACAATGCTTTAGGCGAAATTCCACCTTCATGGTAAAATTCACAAATAATCTCAGCATTTAGGAAAATTCATACATGTTTACATTCACACTTTTGTACATTTAATTAATTAAATTTAATTACAAGCACTAACAAATAAAGCGGCGTCCTGACAGGAGGAGTCATTTGGGTAAAATATTTTCAGAAGCATTACAGTTTGATCAAGAGTGAGAGGAGCTGGATTTTGTACCTCAAGGCCATTTTAACTGTGTTAAGTGTTCTTTCACAAAGCTGAATGTTTCACTGGTAAAAACTGAAAGAGCAAAACCACTTCCTTTCAGTTACTGAGGTAAAGCTTAAGTCTAGAAATTTTTTATATTGCATATAAGAACCACTGACCAAGAGTGATAGTAGATGGATTTTTTTGTGAGGAAGATCCCATTTTTGGGTTCAGAGTACACGTGGAATAACATGTAATTCAACCTATGACTCATTGACAAAGCAATTTTGTCAGAGAAGTTTGCTGCACTATAATTTGACTGCCACTGCTTTAGCCAAGCCTTTACAACGGTTACAGAAAATAGCCACACTTCCATTTTCCTCTCGGACAGACAGCAGGGTCCTCACAGGACCTCCCACCATCACACACCTGCATCCAGCATCGATCCCCCACTGCTGCAGGCCTGAGTTAATTTTAGCTGCGCACTGGCTTTAAGTGCTAGCACAGATCTCGTGTACATGCACAAAGAGTGTGGAGAGAGAGAGAGAGAGAGAGAGAGACAGAGATAGACAGAGAGAGAGCAACAGAGCAAGAAAGAAAGAAAGAAAAAAAGAAAGAAAAGATAGAAAGAAAGAAAGAGAATGGTGCAGCAGTGTATTGCTGAAGGACAGGCTAAGTGGAGCATGCTATAGCTAATCAAGCCTGAACAGATGACAACTATTACTTGTCTTTCACCATGTGGAAGGATGTACAAAACGTCTATCAATTTTTTCAAGCAAGTGGTGCTTGATTTTCTCCTCTCTTTCAAAGATGAAAGCTTGAAGTGCTGTTTATCTGATGGGGACAGTTTGGGTGGTCTACCAGGTCATACATAGTTGTTAGAAGTCCCACTTTCTCTGTATCTATCCAAGAACTTTTCCAGTTTCAGAAACTCCTGTTTTTCTTTGACTTTCTCCTTCCTTTTGCAGGTGGATTATTTGCAGACTATATTTCATCCTCTCAGAAATATCTCATGAAAAATGAATAACGTGAACTTAATGACCATTTTGACTGGAACTTGAATAATGAAGCAGGGAGCACATATATGGAACATATATGACCCTACGTCCTGGCACTGTTATAAAAACAAACCTGTGTGTGTTCTCATTGCAGTCAGCAGGTCTGCAGGGCCATTCAGCCATTTGCACTGCTGGTGTGAGGAGGTGAGTAGCGTATATGTGTGAGCTACCATTCACGGTAATGTGTGTGTCTGGTGGAGCATTATGTGATGCTGCTAATGTGCACCACAGCTGGCAAGCTTCAGCCTCCTTAGACTAATATCTGTATAAATATATGTTTACAAGTAATCTCTCCACAACTGCCCTCATTGAGAAGGAGCCTGAACCACATGACCTGCCCAGCTACAAGTCATTTTGCCCACTTAAAGTGACACTTTACAGACAAATCAAAACTACACAACTTATCCCATACTGAAATGTAGTCCATCAGACAGAAACATTTTCTGACATGCTGTTTCTATAGACAGGCTTCCACTTCTGCTTTCAGCAATGCAAACTACCTACCACCTTTATAGACAAGAGTGTGTTGTACAGAATCATAAAACACAAAGTCTATTTGAGATTACTTGACAAGTTGATATAATTTGTGGCATATGTGAGACATAAGCCCTGCCGTGATATCCAAGCAATTCACATTCCCTGCATTTCAGCCTCCCAACCACACAAAAACAGTGTTTTCGGTCACTGAAATGGACATTTATGTACACTCTGTATTCAGTGTTTTCATGGACAGACAAAGCACAGCTTTTTGAAAACATTAACATCACACTGTTAACCTGTGTATGCCTGTAGCTGTTTTCATGAACTATGTAAAACTCTGTCTGAAATATGACTGATAACTGAGTATGACTGATTTTGAGGTGATTTTCCAGTAAGGGGGTTAGTTTGGGGGGTTGAGTGATGCCACTGAATTTAGCTTTAATTTTTTTATTAAACCTTAGTGCAGAAGCATCAGAATGCACTACGCTCTGTTCTTGTAAAAGGGGCATCACCACGATTCCAATTATTAATAAAAATACCCCAATGATTCTAAAGCCATGCAATTTATTAACCACTAAGATTTGGAAAAAAATCTTTATAATTCAGGTGGAGTGAAAAACTAGAAAAATTCAGCTTCTCTGTCTGATTTGGCAGATCACTTGTGGACGTTTCAGAGTCACTGGCGTAGCCAAGGCAACGTAAACAACCTCACAGCTGCATGTGGTAGGCTTTCTTTCGCTTTTAAGCTTTTATTTTCAGCCATGAGGCTTTGAATCTGTGTGAAATATCTAATTACAGAGGTCTGCGAGTCAAAGCCTACAGTGTTTGTAATATGCTGCTGTTCCTTTGTTAGAAAATCTCTGCTTTAGTTTTGCAGCGCACTCTATATTTTACGCAGTGTGCATGCTCACAGTGTTCTTCTTGAGGCAGTTGACGTCGCATTTAATGAGATATTATGACCTTCTACTGGCCTGGCATGCTAATGTGAGCGTTTTAGAGTTGTGTTCTCATGTGGACAGAAAGATTTTTGAAAACACTGCTGCTCTGAACTAAGATTTATTTCTAAATGAAGACTGAAAACTACCCATATGTGTAAACAAGGCCTAATGCGTACAGTGTGGACAATGCTAAATGGTGAGGTATAAGTTTCCATTACTTGTGGGCTGATTACACTTGGGGTAAGGGGGAAAACTGTAAATGAGGATTTTTTGCCACACTGTTGATTTAAAGCTTGTGCCGTAAACATTACTTGAGTTTTTCTAGTATCACCCAATAAGTGTCAGCAGGCTCTGTGCCTCAATTCTCCATTATGCCCCTTGGCTTTTGTATCATATCAAATTCTTGCTTGGTGCAGAGCTTTCAAACATGACTACAGCTGCTGACCTTGTAAGCAATACGGCTGAGAATACAGGTCAACTACATGGAGGCTTTCTATTACATCAAGAGGAGGCAAGAGATCGTTTGAGCTGTCTGTAGGATCAGTCTGGTCTGTGCATAGCTAGAAGCACAGCAGGCTGGGGGGAAGACAGGCTGGCAGCAGCTGGATAATGTAGGAGAATGGCCAAGGCCAAGACAGTAATGAGCCATTGAGGGAAATGAAGGATTGGCCTCTTGCTGGCCTTTTCACCTTCTATTCTGCCTGTCTAAGGTAAGTCTAGTGCAGCATCCTGCACTAGCCTGCAAGCTAGCAGCGCATTTACAGATACAAAGAACTATGACTCCTGGAATAACAGTTTGAACAGATCTCTATGAGGCTCCCTGCTACAATGTCAATACGCCTCAACTTTAATTCATTGTCTCAGGCTGACTAGGACCCTGCAAAGCTGTGAAAAATCAATGGCACAGTTGTAGCAACATTGGAGACCTTCAGGAGTTTCTCCTGGGTTCCTTTCCTGTTGACTAATCTCTTTGCACTGATACGGTCTCGGTCCACCGCTTGCCCAATCGCATAAATCCTGCTCTATCTGGAGGTGCAGGCATGTAGGTGCTTTGACTTCCACAACGAGATAGCAGTCCGTACCTGATAAGGCATGACAGGGCAAACACTGCAGATCCTGAGCATGTATACACTCAGAGAGTGTCATCTTTAACTTCTGACAAACGCTGTAGCGCTAACACTATCGCACTGCTTGTCGGCGTACGGCTTAATTAAGGCCTGTCAACCGACAAAACAAGGCTTTGACAGCAAATAACCACAGAGAGGTGACACACAAAGGAAGCATGCTCTCCCTAAAAGAGCAGTATCTGCGCTCCAGCTATCTACAGGCAGAGACATCAAAATCTAAAGTGTGTGGGTGAGTCTTTATCACTAGCAGCGTATATGTAGTCAAACAGTGCACTCAGACATCAAGAACTCCACCAGGATTCAGCCTGCAGGAGAGCTTTGTGTGAATACACATCAAGCTACAGATAGGTATGATCCAAATGTCACTCAAGCTTCAGAACTGTGGCAGCACATAATTTGTCTCATTCTATCCCAGGTCTTAGGCTTAGAGCACATCTTAATGCTTCTTATAGAGCCCCTGACACCTAGCTTTAAAAATGTTTTTAACACATATGAGCATGTTTTCTTGCTGATTTCCAAAGACATAATAATAACATAATAAAGACTAATCAGGTTATATTATGAGGAAAACTGCAGTACTGTGTAAAAGTCAGAGACCACCAGACGCCAGACGTTATTCATTTTCCAACATTAGGAAAAAAGAAGATAACAATTAACAGAAAAGTACACATAAACCTCAATAACAAAATAAATAAATGAATAATATTTTGTGTCTGTTCGCTGCTTTTATTTCATTCTTTCCAAGAGACCAAAGTTCAGTCTCAGAAGTTGGTCGAGGGGTGAACAGTCCATTGTTCAGAGAACACCAGCAGCTTCTTTGTTTGTTTGTTTGTTTTTGTCTTATTTCTTTTTCTCAGTAAGAACTTCTTGACAGCTGCACATCCTTTCAGACTCATAGCGCTGAGATGTCTTCTCACAGTGGAAGGATGGACAGAAACACCTGTGGATTTTTTTTTAGATCTGAAGCAGCTTTATTTTCTCCTCTCTTTCAAAGATGAATGTTTTAAGTACAGTTTATCTGATGGAGACACTTTTGGTGGTCTAGCGGGTCTTGTATGATTGTTAGGAGTCACGTTTTCTCTGTATATTTTAATTATTTTTGAACTCCAGTTTTAAAAACTCTTTTTTCAGTTTTTGCTCCTTATGCAAGTATTTTATCTAGTTATTTAACCTCTTCATAAATACCTCCTGAAAAATAAATAACTTGTACTTGCGTGTTGTGAATGAAAATGGAATAAATGAATGGTGATCTCTTCTTTTTGCACAGTACTGTATGTCATACATGACAATATTTGTCACAGTACAACTTTGGGATTTCCAAAACATTTTATTCCCTTGTTGTGCTGCAAGCAGTCATCAATACTGAAATCTTTCAGCTGTTTAAACTAAGCTTAGTGTTGTAAAATACACTCAATATACACAAAATATACATAAAATACACAAAACACACAATATGGCTCTTTTATGTTAACAACCTTTAAAGGTACTTAATTGAAACCTAACAGTGAAAACTTTTGACAGGCAGTGTAAGTACTGCTACATGACTCTCAGTAGGGCTGAATGATTTGCGGAAAACATTTCATTGAGATTTTTCTGACCAATACTGTGACTGCAGTTTAAATGAGATAATTTTCTTAAGCTTAAGTCCAGTAAGTCTATTTTTTCAGGCTTGAGGCTTAAGGTGTAGGTTAAATTTCTCCACTTAAAACAGCTGCAAATAATGTAGGATATAACTGAAAATGGCAAATTTGAATTTCGATATATAAATGATGAATCTTTTAGCCCAGACTGGATCAGTGATATACGTATAAGTATTATTACTAGGCTCACATGATGGTTATGTTGATTCATTATATCTTAAACATCTGTCTTACCGTGCTCTGGGCCTTTAAGGGCCAGTCTGGTCTGGTGGTGAGGGAGAATCTCCATTTTGACATGCTCGCAGGCGCTGGCCAAGAGCTGTGTGGCTTCAGCCAGTGTGCAATACTCCATGCTTGTGCCATCTACCGACAGGATATGGTCACCTGCATGCAGTGCCCCGCACCTGTGCAAACATTAACAGGAAAAGAGTGAGCTTTTTAAAGGAATGCTCCAGCATAAATCCAGCTTTAGCACCTGCCCAAAGGCATCTACTATTTTTGTGTTTCAAGTAATCAGTTTTCTGTTCTTTAACTAAGGCCAGGGGAAGTCAATTTGACTCAACAGCACACTACAGATGCAGCACACAGAACAAACACTGGAATGAACTGGAGCAGATTTACTATTCAGTAACTACTAGAAATTATTCAGTAAGTATTATGAAACAAATATTTAATAGTCATGAGAGTGAGGAATTGTAATGTGTACCCACATATGGGGCCTTGCAGTTAAAGGGGTTAAGCATACACGGCTGCACTGAATCTGAAAACAGACCCTCTCTCTGTTATAAATACCAGAATTATAAAAGAATCTGCACACTGCAGCAAGGAGCATGTGTAAGAGCATGAAAATCAGTTATCTACAAAGCATTAACTGTTCTCTCCTTAATGCTCCTCCCGGGAGCAAACTCCTGAATCATGAGGAGCGTTTCAGTCGTGCCCGACAGAGGAGCTTTCACTCGCTCAGCAATCTGCCATATTCATTATTCTTCTGGGCCCTTTCACTTGGCCTCCACGCCAGATGAGTTATTGAATTTCTATAATTAGTCGCTTAGTGTTATACACTTCAAACTTTCAAAAAATTTCACAGGTGGACACAGAGAGCTGCGGCTGCATAGCGTTCCCTTCCCTACACGCACTGATCTGGGTCAGCGAACAACACAGGACTGAAGGAATGATGAAGGCTTCTCAACGAGGATTTGAAGCAGCTATCGTCCACTACTGTGGAATAACGGGAGGAGTGGAGGATGGGGGGCTGTAGGAGAGTGTGGACAAGGGGTGAGCAGTATCTTCTTAATGAAAATCAAAGTAACAAGTTTTATTTTCGCTCTAATTCTCTTTAATTTGCCATTTCGAATGTGTCACAAAGACACAAACCAAGCGATCTGGAACATTAGCGGCATTTTTGTAGCATCACAGCAGTTTATTACAGCAGACTTTCAGTATGCTGATGATTTGAAGAGAAGACATGCTTTGAAATCAGGAATCAGCAAAATACCATCACCTGGATTCATGTAGTCACAGCTGTGGAATCAGGCCTCCTTCTTGAGGAATCATTTTATCAAGCAAATCACAGCCACAAAGCGTGTGTTCCAAAAACAAGGCAAGAATTCAAGAGGGCTTCATGCCATTTGCTAAATGATTGGAATTACTACATCACTTAGAATATGTAACTTCTATATACACATTTTTCACTGGTTGTATGTAATGCTATCAAGTGAAAGTGTCTTATTTCATTACTGGGGCATTTTGTTCATTTCAAGTATTATTTCTTAAAAAAAGAAATAAGCAAAATGTTTTACAAATGGAATTAGACACTTTCAGTAAAGACAAAATTACTTAGAGATAAAATTACAAGAAAAAAATGGCTAGAAATTAAATAACATTATATTATTTTTAGATATTTTGGCTGAAGTTATGATTTATTTTACTCGCCAAGATATAATTTTTTTGCAGTGTAGCCAAAACAGTTTGCTATCAGAGGGTTGCCTGAGAAATAGACTTTCTGTATGGTCATACAGGCAAGACAGACAACCAATGAGAGCAAGACGAGAGCTCCATTCAATTCCAATAATTTCCTGTCCTCAGATCTGGTACTGAGGTCTGGTCTGGTACCGAAACTAGCAACAAGTTAATGCTGTCCTGTTTGGCTTTGTTAGCACTGTCACTTACACACACTGCACTGCACTAAATCCTAATAAACAGGACTAATTAAGCTCCCTTAGTGATGGAACATGCAGTTGGTCTGTGTTCTTTAAGTACTAACAGTATCTATGATACCCTCAGAAAAGCACATAGTGATGTAATTTCTCAAGAGAATGATAAAAATCATCATATTGTCCACCACTAGTTACTATATCACACAACTAACCATAAGGCTACCCCAGGTAGGAATCTTGGTAACGTCACTGCTGAGGGAGATTACCTGTCAGCGATGCTGGCCGGCTTCACCTTGTCGATGATGATGACCTGCTTGTTGCAGTACATGGAGGTAGAGAGAGCCACTCCTAAGCTGGAGCCCAGAGGCTTGGCCACTTCCACCAGAAGCGGGCCAGAAGCACTGGCTATGGAGTCTGTGGGGAAGAGAGAAAGAGAGAGACACCTTGTTCAACAGGCTCACAAATACAAACCACAATCCCCCATGCAGCAAAAAAAGTAAAAAATTATAAATAAAAACAAACAAAAAATAAAACATGCAAAAATAAACAGTCCATATCCACAGCAGTTGCTCTGACAGCAACACCTTCATCATCAAAACAGGATCAGTTCCACAGGAGCCCTTAATCCTAATCTTCCTACTGCACCAGATCATCACTTTCACTGCCCCATACAAAATGGAACAATTTTAGCTCTCATCAAAATAGAAGACTTCAGACCACAAAAAAAACGAATAAATAAAAAAAAACTAAAATCTTTGGCCCAGTGGTCAATCCTGGTCCTGGAGATCTACTACCCTGCAGAATTTAGCTCCAACTCTGATCTAACACACTAGATCCAGCTAATGGAGGTTTTCAGGGGCATCTGAACATTAAAGCCTGGTGTGTTGGATCGCACCCCTGCTTTGGCCCATATCATGGAAACTTCCCTTGCGCTGATGAAGTAAAACAGTTTGATCCAGTATGTAAACACTGTTAAAGTTTCAAAATGTACAGTTTGTTCCTTAAACCACATACCATGTGTGGAAACTAGGCTGCAAAAACAGCCCATTTTGAATCCTTTGTTTTAGAGATGTCACAAAAACCAAACCAAACTTCCACCTGTTCAGCCTACAGCAGGGTAGCCTCACTTACTCATGCTGAAGCTGCAAGGAGTTTCGCAGCCTGGACTGCATCTTGAATGAGGCACAATATAGGCCAGCCAATCAGAGCAGAGCTCATTTATATACATCAGTCTTAGCATAGCAACCAAAGCAGCCTGTTTCATTCTAAGGGATAAAGAGAGGTTGGAAAAGGTTCATTTTAAAGTGAATTATGACTGTTTTCTGTACCTACAATCAGACATATATCATAAGTGGACCACAAAAGGGACAACTCTCCCCACCTAAACATTAAACCATACCATGTGCCTTTTCATAGCTATAATTCCAAATGCAACTTTCCACTAGAGGCCCCCCCTTCCAGAGAGAGCGAGAGAGAGAAGAGACAGAAAACGGACATCAGGTTGAGGGCTCTCACACTCACCTCATTAGAGTGAATAGGGGGAGCGGACAGGCTAGCACCTCTAAAAGCCTAATAGAAGTGATACCACATGACGGCTTGGTTAAGGGTGCCACTAAAAGACCTGATTACACCATACATCTTAAAACCAGAGCAGGTGGAGGGAATGAACACAACACACTCACCATATGCTGCCCCCCCGACAATTCCCAGCTCACACTAGAATCACTTGCTGCCCATTAAGAAGAAGAACTGCCCCTGCTGTGGCTTGCAACAGAGAGCAGCAGCTCTTTAGTGGGAATAGGTGTGAAGCTGACCGCTGTCGGCTAATGTGCTTGTCCTCCACCGCGCACACACGCAGCACGCAAGATCCCAGCCAGAACAAATGCAATGTTAATGGTTAAATCGCATATTACAATGCAAAGGGATTTTCACAGCCTTCCAAAATAATCATTTGCCAAAACAAAGGCCCACGCAGTCGGAGAAAAATGCTTCACCACCGTTTCATCTTTGTGAGGATGGGGTCTACAGTGGAAGTGTGCTGATGAAAGCGTCTACAGGACATTAGGTGCTGAGCTGGGAGCCTGTGCTGGCTGCAGCTGCTGGAGTTAGCTAACGTGGCATGATGGATGGATTCAGTGATGGATGGAGAGGCAGCATGACTGAGGACAATTGATTTGAAAGACTATCGCCCCGTTCTCTGCCTAAATCTCTTTGGCCCATCCCACCTTACCTACACCAACATTTTATGTGCTCAGGGACTTCAGGGACCCTCTTACCTGACACACTGCCACTTCACAATAAAACGGCTCATTTCAGTTTTCACTATCTGCCTGCACATCTGCACAAAAGCACACGTGACTGGAAGCCTCTATTTCATTAATGCTATGTTGGAGTAAAAAAGAAATTAACAGCAGTGGATTTTCAGCTGTGTCATTAAGATTAAAAAGAAAATTGGTACTACAAATTGAAATAATCTTAATATTAATGAAGATAATTTTTTTTCGATTCACACATAGCCAACGTTATCGGGCCAACTTCAGGACACTTGATCCCCAGCACTAACTGAGCATGACAGAGATGGTCAATCTGATGAATCTGACTGAAAAACTGCTAGTTCAGTAGAGTGTTTAGCCTTTTTTGGATTTGTTTTTGCACTTTTGCACTCCACTTCCATGTGATTTAGCAGACATGTTGATGGCCAAAATTTAGCCGAATTTGTTGAGTCAGCTATTTTTCCCCAACTCGCACTCTGGATGCACATACATACAATTATATTTCCTTTCATGCGTTGATGGGGCCCTTCCCCTCTCTCAAATAAACCAGCCCACCAATATTGATCTTCCTGATTTTTTTTTCTCCTTATCTTTGTACACCTTGGCTAAGGGGCTTAAGGTTCAGTAAGCATTAAAGTGGGCTTGACGCCACTCCATCACTTAATCAAAGCTAATAATTATCAAAATCAAACATTTTTTTCAATAACGACACTGCACATTTGTGGTGCTTTTGCTAAAACAAGTATGCCCTGTTTTCTGTTCTTCTGCAGTAACAAAGGCTTGATCTTTTAACAATTACCTCATCAGTGGAACTGTGTGCCTTTTACTCGCATGTTGAGGTGGGAAAAGTCACCTAGCCATTCACTTGCAACAGCAAAAAAGAGCACGGTTTTTAGGAGAGTAAGCTAGCTAGCTATTTTAACATGTTAAAACGGTCATGTATTTGAGGAAAATGGCTCAGAACAGAAGGGGACTGATGAGCAAAATGATTAGCAAATTACTGAATATACTGCAGACATTCAACCATATCATCACTGTCCTATCAAAACTGATTCAATACTTATTTCTTCTAAATGTAATCTGAGCACAGCAGCTGTCTTTTATATTGTAGGAACATGCATGAATGGACCAATAGAAGTGATCCAAAATTACGTGGAATAAAAGCTCATTACTTAACTTATAGTACAAGCTAAGACCATTTTTGGCTTCTCCTGTAAAGTCGCAATTTTAGAGATAAATGGTTTTGTTAGGATAGAAAAAAAATGTATAAAAGTTTGAGCCATGCAGCCTAGCCCTACCTACACTCCCCCTCCACTGTTACTCAAGTCACTCAAGTCTGCAGATGATCACAGTGAAAAGTAGTTCCATTTATGGTGAGTAGCTGCTGTCTGGGGGTTGAAGATTGTTTCAATCACAAGAACGTTCCACCTTTAGCATGCAGAGTGCAGTATAATGAGGGATGTCTGAGTGCTGCGAGATGTTTTTCTCTGCTATGATTGCTGTGTTACATGCGGCAGAAAGGTCCGGAGCTCAAAAAAGAGCGGTGTGTGTTGCAGGAAGGTGGCTGTTTTTCATGATTTATGCACACAGTGCACCCCAGTCTCCGGTGGTCCTTCTTAATCAAGGCTTCTTTATTGCAGGAAAGATAAAAAGGAGCAGGGGGTGGAGGGTAGTTCAGCTACCTCACGCATTTCAGGGACAATGGAGCAGCCAGAGAGGTTTAGCGAAGAGAACAGCTTTAGATGAGAAGACAAAGGCTTCAGTTTATGAGCATTAAGCTTTAGTCAAAAACCTAATGAAGCTATCAGACATGAACTGACAGACACCAGCATTTCTTCACAGACTGAACAAAACAAAGCTTAAGGGGTAGGGGGGGTGCTTTAATTCAGAGCACTTATTGAAGAATATTGAAGAAATTATCCTCAAATTTTGGCAGCGTAAATATTATATATGCTTAGGGTGAAAAACTGGTCTCTGTGGCCACCCCAAGCTCTGTAAACAGCAGAAGTAATAAATGAGGTGGACCACCCAACATTCAACCACTCAAGACAAAGAGGTAGGGCTGTAGTGCTTGAGACTGGTTGGGTCTGGTTAGGTCTGGTTAGGTCTGGAGTCCAGTCAAAGGTGTCTGTCAATTAATGTAAATGTAAATGTAAATCATTTTGTAAAAAATCTTTAAGAAATCCATACAACTACTTAATGTGATACTTGAAGTGTTACATTCTAAAATCAACCCCCTCCCCACCCCAGCTCGGGTTTTTTTTTTTTTCCTGCACATTTAAGCGGCCCCCTATATACCATTCTGCTGAATTTCACAATCGTGTAAGCACTTATTGGTTAATTCCTGCTATTTAATGATGTTTTAAAAAGATAAATAGATTTGTTCATATTTTAAAATACCTCAAGACGTAGCCTAGATTATTTGCTGTTATTTATCCTGTTAAATCTCAAGTATTTTAAAACATTCTGTTGCAGAGGTATCGTGTGTAGCCAGACACGGCTCTCACAACTGAGGTAGCTAAATCAAATATTTCTTCCTACAGTAGGTCTGTACCAGGTTTGCAGTACTATGATTTTTAACCAAGTGTTTCGCTAACTCACTTTTGTTAAATGTGCTCAAAGTCACACATTTGCACCTAGTCAGCTAGCTAACAGTATTTGTACATTAACACTGAGTAATTTTTGTACATACATATGTTTTATTTTGCAGAAATTCTTCTTTCCTTACAATTTCTAGTAATTTGTACTGAAAGGAAAAAAAGACTAGTTAAGGCTCGAAGAGGACTTTGGGGTCTTTTTTTGGGTTTCAGTGTTGATCTGGTCTTACTCTAATTTGGACCTTGGTCTTGACTTGGTCTCGGCCCTCTTCAGACCCCACTTAGGCCCCCTTTAGGTCTCAATCACAACTAGTCAAAGCTGTGGACTTGTCTTGGACTTGACAAAAGTGGTCTTGACTACAGCCCTACAAAGAAGTGTATCAACTTGCCTGTCATTCATTTTGCACATCCACAGTACAAAAAAATTTGTCCCAAAAAAATTGACATCATTTCGTAGTCTAATAACATAGCCAATTCTCCCTCAAATGAGCTCTTTTTTTTTTTTCAGGTTGAAGAATGGCGTTCACTAGAGATGAAAAGGCATTTGTGTGTTAGAATATGCTCGAACACAGTCAAACAAGGGTGTGCAGTGTGCATTTTTGAGAAAATTCAATAAAAATGCACCAACTGGAAAGCAGATTTGGACATGGCACACAAAATTCAAAGAGGAAGGCTGTCTGTGCAGGGCAAAGGGATCTGGACGACCACCAGTATCGAAAGAAATCGGTTATAAAAATCTACATCTTTGTGAAATCGGTTATAAAATCTACATCCCTCTGAATTTCTTATTCGAATTTTGAGAAATAAGTCTTGTATTGTTCAACATAAAGCCTATTTAATTTCGTTTGCCTACGACATGTAGTTACTCAGATATTCACATCTCAAATGATGTACATTTTTTGGGACACTCTGTACATGGAAGGGAGGGCTAAACGTAGTCTAGCAAGCTGCAAGCCTGTGTTCTGAAATCCATTGTAACAGCTGGTTAGCCCTTTCACAAACAATGGCAGAACAAAAATAACAACAATTTTGACAAATCTATCTATAATAGCTTACACAGCCAAACTAAAAAAAAAATCAAGAAAAGAAAATGAACCAGATGAATGAATCTGTCCAATGGCTTTTTAATGTTGGAGAGTTAATTGAGTTGAAGGGTATAAAGAGCGACACACAGCTTGTTCTATATCTTCTGGACAGTTAATTCATTACATAGCACAGATAAAACCAATAAAATGCAACAAGCAAACAACTAATTCAGCGCCAGTTCAGGTGTTGAAGCCTAGGGAGCACACATGTTTTTGGGGTGGGGTCTTGGAAGGATCACTGACTAGAGAGGGCTGTGTTTTTGCCTGCTGAGTTTAAAACTGCTTCACCAAAATCGGTGACCCTTCTTCTAAACGGTCACAGCACTGGCCTACCACCCACCATCCAAAGAAATAAAGGAATAAAGACCAAAAACAGGGTCTGATAGCTGCAGTGGGGCTGTTAGCAGTTAGCGCTGTCTGTTCTGTTGTGCTGACACAGGGTTAGATGAGTGCAGCCAAGCAATGCCTCCATTTCCATCACACCTCCGTTGCAGCAGGAAGAAAATCTATCACTTCCGGATCAGAGCACAACAAAGACATCAGGGAGACGCTGTTTAGTCACGAGCTTCTCCAAGCCTTACAACATCATTCTCTCTCTCTCACTTTCTCCAGTGAGTCGGTGAGAAAAAGGCCACACTGTGCCATTTTTATCCGCGTATTTACTCTGACATTTGGAGATCCAATCAAAACACATATTGACTTGCAAGGAAAGAGCTATGCAGCAGCTGCTGGGGTGTGAAGTCAATACGTGCAAAGAGGCACCTTATTGAGAACTCCAGATATCTCCGAACAATAGAGAGAGAATGCAATAATTAGCTAAATACAACATTTTGATACAGATAATGCATGTTTAAGGTCTTTTTAATAAAATGATTATGCCGTTCTGTTCCTCAATCCAGCATTAGCAGCAAAGAACTCTGAACAATTGCTATTTTGGTACATTAGGGCACCTTAATGAAACCTCTACAGATCTCTGAACAATAGAGAGAGAATGCGAAAAAACTATCCAAATAAACTGTTGTGCTCCTCAATCCAGTATTAGCAGCAAAGACATTGAACAATTACTACTTTAGTAGACTAGGTTGTGAAGTGTGCCTTTTACTAGGGAACCAATGAGACACAAGAAGTCTAGCCATTCACTTGCAACAGTTAGGAAGCAAGCTAGCCATCTATTTTCAGTGTTGAAATTTTGGAGATTAAAAAGGCACTGAGTTAGAGGAAAATATCTCAGAATTTAAGGAGATCGTGGCAAAAAAAAACATCCTCTGCATTGTGGAATTACGTACATTTTCTTAAAATTCAGGGTTCACAATGCTATTATGTATTGCACGTATTAAGAAATGCATTACATGCTTTAAGAAATGCACATAATTATTAACAATTATCGATACTGAATGATGTGCGAAAAGCCATTCTCATAATACTGTTACTCGTTTCAGGTTAGAGGGCGTGGCCTTACCCATGATGGACACATCGTATTCGATGAGAAGTGTGGCTTCCTGGCCGCACTGTTTGAGGATGCTCATGGCCTCTGCGTGGGAGGTGCCGTGCAGGCGGATGCCATCGATGCTCAGCAGTCGGTCTCCTGGTTTGATGGTGCCTTCCCTGGAGGAGGAGAAAATATACACACCACAGACAATCTGTTACAATAAGAAGTTAAAAAAAATGCGGTCTAAAGGAGCTTAAATTTAATCCTGTGAACTGGATGGCCCTTCAAAAAAACCTTTAAATTTGAGAAGGATCCATGGGTGCTTGAACATGAATGGAGAAAGATTCCCCAGAGAGTGCTTTATCTCCGAAGGAAGTTAACAAGGCACAAGGAGACCCTGATTGCCATCTTAGAATGCCATTATACCGGATGGCTCCTGTTCCGCTGCTGCACTTAAGCATGCCGTAGGGCTGCTGAGGAGTAACGGCACAGTCTTTTGTGCACCCCAACCAAGCAAGAACAAATCTTTCTGCCACATGCTTGGCTACATCTCTACTTTATTGACCACAACAAAAGTTACGCACATCAATTAGTATCAGAGGCCAGGTTAAACCTTTACCGCGCTGAACCTGCATTCACTCGATTCATAACCATCACCACTCCAGGACTGGGAGGAGATTTAGAAAAGTCTTAATGGAATGTCAGAAGGTTGAGACTGGCCACTAAGCTAGCTTCAAGTCAGTATTAGAACCAAATGAAAGCAATTTGTTTTTTTAACAGCAAGAAAATATCATCCAGTCTGAGAGAAGCTATAGCCCAACCTGATTGGACTCATAATAGGCTATAGCAATGTTGTAATGCCAATTGTATTCTGGATATAGGCAGCCGCAGGCAGCAGGGTTAGTGTGCTGGAGAAAAGACTGTATTCGCCTGGAGAAACAGGAATCGCATCAGCGAAAGACAATAATTGGAGTATTCCGTCTGTGGGGAATGAAATCTCCATACAGAAAAATTAATATTGATGGAGCTCGAGAGGAAAGAAAGACATGGGCAGAAGCATGAACAGAATAATAACAGGGCAGAGTGCAAACGTGAACAGAGCCGGGAGTGGGAGGGGGGTAAAGAAAAACCATGGCAGTCTATTTGCAATTCTCCGATGGGCGATGAAGTTAGAGAACATGGGTAATTTATTCCAATTTTTGATATAGGAGGCAGATAGACTCGGGGAAGACAGTTTCTGTGGAGCAATTTATCGCAGTTTGAAACCAAGCCCATGATTTTCATCCAGCTACAAAACGCTGAAGTAGCTGGAGTGCATGAAGACTCACAATAAGTTCCTACAACATTTAAGCCTTTCAAATGCAACAATGAAGTCCAGACTTGCCAACTGAAAATGCAGCAATAGAATGATATTAATGTTTATGTATACAATTAAAAGAATTATTAAAGGGGACTTCCACTCATTTTTCTGCAGTATCAACTTATTAAGATGCTAAAGCCATTTAGAGTGGTTAGACGTGAAACGCACCATTCTAGCGAAGCTTGCCAAGCCACAATTGTTCAACGAATTGGTGAGAGCAACCAGACAGCTGAAACCGTTAATGCCACTGAAAACGTCCTTACAGGAGGTAGTTTTACCCAACCCAGTATCCATAACATTGAGTGCGTTTACATGCACTTAATAATCCGATAACTGCAGAAAATCAGATTTTGTCAGTAATCTGATCAATGTGTTTACATGCACTTGAGTAATTAGATAATGGGAACATTTCAGGTCTACATGAGTCATGTAATAATCGATTTTCAGCTTTGCAACCAGCCAATAAACTCACAAAATAAGATGTGAAGTAACAATATGTACAACTCAAACCTCATGCCCCAGCAGTCACCTTACTGGAAAATATGTATATACATCATCTCGAAGATAAATAATAATTTAAGTCCTCATTTCATCAAGCATGTAGTGGTTTGAGCATCGCTCCAAATGTGCCTTGTTAACTTCTAGTTGGTGCTGTGTTAAACGCTTCTTGCTGTTTCCGGGATCAGCGCTCTCTTTTTCCACTTGCTTAGACTGAGAAAAACGAAAGAAATCAGAGTAAGGGTACACATGCGCTGAAAACCCAATTACCAAGCTAAAATCCAGCTCTTCATCAGATTTCTAGAAATCTGGAAACGGCCTTGGTCTGATCTAAAAAAATCGCAGTATCCTGTATTACTGCTGGAATTCAGTTAAGATTGTATTATAGTTTTAAGATTTTTAAAAAATGGCAACATGAAGGGTGCTGTAAGACAAAACAGTGGCCAAAGAAAATCATAATTACCACTATTTTACCTTCATCAACATGACATAATAAAACACAAGAATGTGTGTAGGTTCACTGGTTGCTTTGGATAGTAAACAAAATGGAAATATTTGCATTGTAGAGATCGTGACTCCTGGTTCCCATCACCAACATTGGTAAGAAAAGACGAATAAGTATCGTTATAATAAACCATTTCTCATTATACTACTTGGAATGAATTTGCATCTGGACCACCGATTTATACAGAGCTTTTGTAAAATTCCCCTTTAAAGGCACACTGCTTTTTGAAAAATTGGCAACATCTTGCCGCCTTTTGACATTTTTAAAGTAACATTTGATGTATTTGTTTTTTTGACTAACTAAGAAAAAAAAGTCCAACATAAAACTGCTGTTGTCTAATATTTTGAGTATATTTTGCAGCACAAATCTTCCTGTGTCTTCCTTGCTATGCTATTTAGGTTTTGCCTAAATAATCGTTTAGTATTTTTCTTTTCCTACTACCGTTAAAAGCGTATATGGGAACTCTCTTGATCTTAAAGTTGTTTAAATAATGGAAAGGCATCTCATCACAAAAATGGTAATTAAAGTGTGAAGTTTAGCATTATTACCAAAATACACTATATTGCCAAAAGTATTCAGTCGTCTGCCTTCATACGCATATGAACTTGAGTGACATCCCATTCTTAATCCATACGGTTTAATATGATGTCGGCCCACCCTTCGCAGCTATAACAGCTTCAACTCTTCTGGGAAAGCTTTCCACAAGGTTTAGGAGTGTTCTTATGGGAATTTTTGACCATTCTTCCAGAAGCACATTTGTGAGGTCAGACACTGATGTTGGACGAGAAGTCCTGGCTCGCAGTCTCCGCTCTGATTAAGGTGTTCTATCGGGTTGAGGTCAGGACTCTGTGCAGGCCAGTCAAGTTCTTCCACACCAAACTCGCTCATCCATGTCTTTATGGACCTTGCTTTGTGCACTGGTGCGCAGTCATGTTGGAACAGGAAGGGGCCATCCCCAAACTGTTCCCACAAAGTTGGGAGCATGATATTGTCCAAAATCTCTTGGTCTGCTGAAGCATTAAGAGTTCCTTTCACTGGAACTAAGGGGCCGAGCCCAACTCCTGAAAAACAACCCCACACCATAATCCCCCCTCCACCAACTTTACACTTGGCACAATGCAGTCAGACAAGAACCATTCTCCTGGCAACCACCAAACCCAGACTCGTCCATCGGATTGCCAGACAGAGAAGCGTGATTCGTCACTCCAGAGAACACGTCTGCACTGCTCTAGAGTCCAGTGGCGGCGCTTTACACCACTGCATTTGACCCTTTGCATTGCGCTTGGTGATGTAAGGCTTGGATACAGCTGCTCGGCCATGGAAACCCATTCCATGAAGCTCTCTATGAGCTAATCTGAAGGTCACATGAAGTTTGGAGGTCTGTAGCGATTGGCTCTGCTGAAAGTTGGTGACCTCTGTGCACTATGCGCCTCAGCATCCGCTGACCCCGCTCTGTCATTTTACGTGGCCTACCACTTCGTGGCTGAGTTGCTGTCGTTCCCAATCGCTTCCACTTTGTTATAACACCACTGACAGTTGACTGTGGAATATTTAGTAGCGAGGAAATTTCACGACTGGACTTGTTGCACAGGTGGCATCCTATCACTTTCACTGAGCTCCTGAGAGTGACCCATTCTTTCACAAATGTTTGTAGGAGCAGTCTGCATGCCTAGGTGCTTGGGTTTATACACCTGTGGCCATGGAAGTGATTGGAACACCTGAATTTAATGATTTGGATGGGTGAGTGAATACTTTTGGCAATATAGTGTAGCTCTATCATAAACATTGTCTGAAATATGTGATGTTTTCCTTAGAATAAACCTTCTTAGTCTTTATATATTATTTCAACTGACAAAGAAAACATGCTCATCTATATTGAAAATTTCTGAAAAGCTGAACTCTGGCAGTGTGCATGCTAAAGCCAGTCTGTGGCTTATATTGGAATGCTGAGGCCTTTGACATGAGAAAGACTATCTCACCTGTCAGCAGGGCCGCCGGGTCTGATAGTTGTTATGGTAACCGGACGAGATTTGTTCCTGTCTTCATGGGCGCCTCCTGCGGGGACATTGCAGCACATTAGCACTTCTGACAAATGTGGTCATAAAGATAAACATATTGCACATGTGCTCTTGGGAACTAATGTTTACTGCAGATACTTTTTGCATACCATATCTGCAGTTACGAGACCAACCAATAACTCAGTGCTGCTGAATGGAAGACATTTGCTTTAATGTAGATGAATATATTTCCACATTCTTATTATAAATGGACACACAACTTCAAAAAATATGGAAAAACATGGCTCACTAGCGTAGCAGATATATCTTGACAGATCTTCAGTGACAAAAAAAGCAAAGGAAATACTAATCAAAAGACTTTGTTGATCCATATGTAGGCAGAAATATAGAAAGTTGGGCTACCCAGTGGGCGACCTTGGAATTTCATCTAAAGGCAGTTTGGTAAATATGAGTAAAAGTAATTTGAACACTGAAAGCACAGATGAGATTATTTCCACCTGCTGTCGGAAGCCTGAGGAACTGGAAACAGATCTTCAATGATAACATGCTTTCTGTTTGATGTAGACATGAATCAAAAGCACTCACTTCGATGTGTACGAATAAAAGGGTACATGCTGAGCTACAGGGGTCCCAGTCAGTGTTTGCCTTACCTACAATCCACAGGGTTAATGTGCTAAAACTTTAAAACGTCACAAAATGGTATTCATAGAACTCCATGTCATCATTAATGGCCAAAACAAAAATCACGAGGGCCGTCATGATTACAATTTACCCACTCAATGAATCTACAATTATTAGTTGGCAGTTGGCAATAATGCATGATAGTGCATATTTAATTTAAATATAAACATAATATTTCAAAGTTTAGTCCTGGGAGTTGCTTATATTTTCTGCTTCTCATGACCCAAGTAATCTGGACCCTGGGATCAGTCCATTGTTCTGAGAACACCAGTATCTTCTATGTTTCATTTGCAAATGTTCTTCTTTTTTGTGTATTTTCTTTTCTCAGTAAGGACTTCTTGACAGCTATACATCAGACAATTGAGGTGTCTTCTTACAGTGGAAGGATGGCCAGAAACACCTGTGGATTTTTCAGATCTGAAGCAGGAGAGGATCTTGATTTTCTCCTCTCTTTCAAAGATGAAAGCTTTAACTACTGTTTATCTGATGTTGACAATTTTGGTGGTCTACCAGGTCTTACACGGTTGTCAGGAGTCCCACTTTCTCTGTATCTTAGAATCATTTTTTGAGTTCCAGTTTTAAAACTCTATAATTCATTTTCCTTTGTCTCTCTCCTTCTTTATGCAAGTGGATTATCTTATATCTAATCTCCTCAGAATGTATTCGGTAGAGTGGCCCAGAGATCTTCCATCAACAGTCCATTTTTATTGTTTGGCCTTTTGCTGAACTCAATCATGCAAATTAATTGGAGAACTCTCAATTACTAATATAATGGATACTGATGGCCCTAAAAACATAACTGAAAAGCCCTCATAGCGAGACTGAAAATAACTGGGGAAAAAATACACTGGGCAACAATGTGTAGCTAGGATCGTGTTCAATGTCTAGATATCATAAGGCATGTTTTATGAGAAAGCCTGTCTATTTTCCAAGACAAGGTTAAACATCATTCAAAGGTTAATTATTATAGACATATTATTCATGTGAGGAAATGTTAACCTTTAATAAATACTACTGATGCACTGTTTGGATATGAATGACTCCTTCTGAAATGCTCTTTGAAGCCAATGGAAAAAGACAGGGTCATTTCAGCAGTGAAAAGAACCGTTCAGCTGCTCCTGTTGGCTATTGTGTGCGTACAAGTGGAAACAGATCCTTACTGATAATACGGCTTCTGTTTGCTGTCAATCAGTTCAACTCACTATGATGTGCCGGCAACAGAGGTTACAAGCTGCTCCACATATAGAGATACTGAGCTTCTACCACTATCAAATTCATCCCTTTATCAAGTTAAAACAATTTATTCATGGTTTAAGAGAGAAAAAAAAATCAGATGCACATAATAAAGTAGTTTGCCACTAAAACAATGAAAGTTGCCTTGTGCACTAAATTACGCCTGCAGACAAGACTTTATGATGAAATCAATGGTTTAATTTGCTGCATTTTTTTCACTAGAATATACATAAAGCTTATGCGTCATAATGACAGCCCCAGTGTAAAAAGCTAACTATTCTAGGTTCCATGTACTCTGTTTTTAAATGAGGAATTTATTACTCCTACACACATTTTTATGTATATTTGCTTCAAAACAAATCAGCAGTAATGGAGAGTATGGGACTTACCTCTGATGACAAATCCAAATGTGTTTCCCTCTTTATGCAGAGTCACCTCGACATTTTTAAACATTACACCTGAACCCTGAACAGCTGTAGAGCAAACAAACAGAAATTGATTATTCACCTGATACAGCACCAACAAAAACAATGAGAAATGATTCACTGTGGGATCTGAACATGCAACATCGCTAACCATGAGGCTAATAATATAACACTTAAATAAAAATAAAATGCATCTCAGTTGATCCAGCAGTTTGTTTTTAACTGGCCCGATCTTGCCAGAGGTGTAAAAACTGTCACACTCAGCGCTACAACATGTTGTCATCCTCCTGACCTTGGAATGTAATGTGATTTGGTGGCCTTCTCACCTCCACATTATGCATGAGAGTTCTATGTAAATGAGGCAGGGCAAGGTGAGGTGTTGCTTTTATTTATATATATTTTTAATTAGGTCTTTGGAATAAGAACCCTAAGGAGTTCATCGGATTTCAGCATATTTGCTTAATAATTTGGTAATTTCACCAGGAGGTTTGAAATAAATGTGTTCTGGAGATATGCAGCAATTACAGAGGGTCGTAGAATAAAGTGTTTGATAATTATAGTTATGATACAGTACGGCAGTAAATGAATATGATTAGTAAGATTTACAGAACATAAATTCTTTAAGACAAAGCTCAACAATATTTTTAATAATAAGTAAAGAATATTAACCAGGGGGCAGAATTTGGCTGATTGAGTGTACCAGCCTGGGTCTCGTGAACAAACGCTATAAACCTTGACTCGTAACATAATGCATGATTCACATTCACAATTACTTACTACTACTACCACTACTACAACTACTACTACTACGACTACTACTACTACTAATGATAATAATAACCTCCTTTTATAATTTTAACTCAAAGAGCTACAAAACAATGGTTAAAACAATATAGAACAATGGACTCCACCCCTCCGTAGATCCGAAAGAACTACCCTTCTGCAGAGCCTAGTTACAACCACAATTTGCCACCTGCTCCAGCTAATCAACCTCTTCCCAAGTCCCTGACTGGTTGGATCAGAGTTAAGTAAGGGGCAGGGCAGCTTAATGGATACAGGTTGGAACTAAACTCTGCAGGAAGGTAGCTCAAGGTTTGCGTAAGTTTATACTTGAGTTTCCGAATAAAGTCTTAACTAAGTCCTTAGTTACACTAGTTAGTTTCAAACTATCCTTTTACTAAATTTGGTTGCACCGCAAATCCGTAAGTCGTGTCTTAACTAGAAACAACTAACCACATACGTCGCTTTAACATGACGATAACGTGTTCAGAACCAATCAGTAAACTCGCTGCCATGGAAATGCAACGGCAGCTGCTCTGACTTTTTCCATAGAAAAAAATATCCAGCATAGAGGAGAATGATGTGTACAAGTTAAACTAAATAAAGCTAACTATCTACAGCCATTGTCTGTTTATTCTTTCATATTGAAACCAAATATGCAGCTTTGATATTGAAACCAAATATGCAGCTTTTTAATCAACGGTTTCTGGATAACTGAGTACAATGGCAGCCTCAGTTTAGCAGTTTGGGCAGCTGCCAAATGTTACTGAGCCGGAGCTGTGGGTGTTTAGCTTCATGCTCAGAGTTTATACTATGCTGATGATTAGAAATTAAGTAAAATCACAGTGTATAGTGTTTGAGTTTTTAGCTTAGTTAACCAAAAAAAGTCATGTTTTTGGTCTTTTTTGTGTATTATTTGTGTATTCTGACGGTTTCCCCAAAACTTACACCTGCTCAGGAGAAGGTGTAAATATTTAGTAACTACTAAGCTCAACATTAAAACTAGTTTGTGTGGTGCAACCCGTTCTGATTTAGTAATGCATAAACCTGAACTTAGTAAACACTTGTGTTACAACTAGCCTACGTTTGAACAGCTGGTGCAACCGGCCTCTGGACCAAAGTCTGAGACCACTGCTATAGAACAATTCATAAGATATCAAATGTCCATGCAAGTTAATATAAAAAAAAAGTTGCTTTTATTTTACCAAATACTTTTTTTTCCAAACAACTCATATGGCTTTGCCTCCTGGTTTTTGCTTGATTGCTTGATCACGAGTGGGGAGGAACACAGCTTGACCATTGTTGACCACGGAGTTGAAGATGGTGCCACTAGCCAATCAAGGTTGTTAGCATGTCAATTATCTGCATTTCCAGCATGGTCAATCATGTAAAGGTTATGACTCAGTTCATCTCAGATTTTGGTGCTGGACAAAAGTTCCCATAAAGCTATGATGTTGGGGTCCAGGGCACACACTTCCAAGGGCACATATGCCATGGAGCATATTCCAATGAAAAGAATAGGCACTAATGCTAAAGGCTCTCTTCAGGTCCTACACTACCTCCATGATCTTAACTAGCTCCACCCCTACTTGATGTACATAAAGAAGGGCGGAGAAGGACTCAACCTCCCAATCCTTACACTGTGCAAAAATCACATAAAACACACACATCCTACTTATACAGTCTTTAATTGAATCGCACATGCTTGCTTCAGGGTGTCACATTAAGTTCTTTCTAAATGAACCAAACTCTGCTCTGTTGACACAAACCTGAGTGGGAATTAGCTGTAAATAACCTCAGTGCTTTTTGTTTTCTCAGTGTAAGTGAACTTTAAAGGGGGCTCTGTTCTCCTTCTGGTCCTCTTTAGCATAATTGAGATCTCAAAACATTTGTTGTTTAAATGCAGAAAATCACCCTTTTTCCAAATTACACACTCAAGTTCAAGTGAGGAACCTTGCTGTATCATGGACTCCTCCCTGAAGTTTGATAAACAAACAAATGCTGTTGCAAAAATCATTGCCATGTTAAAACCAGTTCTCCCATTTTGTGATTTGGACACATTATACATGCATTTATCTCATCAAGCCTACTAGACTCTAACTCCATTTTTATCAGGGTTTCTCAGTCAAATTCATTTTCTTCACAGCTTGTGCAAAATGTGGCAGCCAGATTCCTGACTGGAAGCAGTAAGAGAGACCATCTCTCTCCGGCTCTAGTGTTGCTCAGCTGCTGACCGGTAAAGTTAAGAGAAGCTTTTAAAATTCTTTTGTTTGTTTTAAAAGCTTTACAGAAGTCTGTACCACAATAAATAACTGACCCTCTCAAGCACTATTCTACCCCCAGAAGGCTAAGATCTTCTGATAAATTGCTTCTGTCCAGTCTGCCCATTTGTTCTCTCTGGCTTGCTGCTCTGTTTGAGTTTTATGATTGTATTTTCTATGTGGTGTCCTTCTGTTATTTTGTTTGTACTATTTGTGTTTTTATTATCCTTTACATGTATTGTTAGTAAATTCATTTTATGGTATTGTACAGCACTTTGGTCAACATTCACTGTTTTCAATGTGCTATATAAATAAAGATGACTTGACTTCACATCTCTGCTCTTTTAGAACACAGAACCCATCTGGGTAGCATCAAGTAATTGGTAGCGTTGTTCAAGTTCCTCATATAACAGTTCATCATATAACAGATCTGATTGGCTGAGCCACGTTTGAACACATTAAATAGTTACTGCGGCTCATGTAGTCATTTTTGATCTAAACCATCTAAACTACTGTTTATTGAACACTGTATTTATTCAATCTAATTATATTATATTCTTTGCCTCCATTTTATAAATGTAACTGGCCACTCAAGGCTGCGTGTTACAGTGATTTCAATTCAGGTAGAGGGTTTAACTCTGCTGTATGCGTGCAAAGTAAACAGATGGGTTCATGAGGCTGCTTGCTTTAAAATGCCAGCACTTACATCTGTTCACCAGCTCACACAAACCCACAGCCAGTCTTTATCTTGAGTAATTTGTTTTTTACCTGCTAAGTCATGGAAAACTGAGGCTGTGCTTGTACAGTCAGCCTCAAGGTTCTTTAACCATACAGCAAAACGTGCAGAGGAGATGGGGCATTATGTTTTCACAATGCACAAATCAACTGGACCGCAAAATGAACCACAAACAAACTGTACTGAGACCAGCTTGAGAGGTGGTCTGAGTTTGGTTCACTTCCAGGAACATTTAGAGGGGTCTGAGTTTGTTTGACGCGTTCACATATGCACAGAAAACTATGACTCAAAGGACTGAGTCACTCAGAAACAGCCTATGCATGACTAACTGCTGGTGAATGTTCTTCCCCTCATTTGTTGTGGTTTAACAAAGTACTGGAGAACACCACTGCGAGGAGAATGAGGTACAGGTAAAACGATTATGCACAGGAAAAATATTCCTCTATTGTCCAGCACATGAGGACCCCGTCTAGGCACCGTGAGGTCTGTCAAATTCTGAGAAAGCTTTTACTTCCCTCCCTGACATTACTGAATGGCTTTCTGTGCGCAGCAGCACTTCACACGTCTCTAAGAAAACCTGCATTAATGCATGCTGCTACTTGGTCTCCAGCTCTCTTCACTTCATCACGTCTTAGAGGCTTTTTGGCAGTTTCAAACATTTGCTCATGTCAGGCTTGCACCTCACGCACAAGCCCTTCAGCATCGTCTGCCCTGAAGCGCTCTTGCCCATTTGCGTGATGCGCAGCTTTGCTGAGCTCAGCTGTTTATAAGTTATCAGATGAGTAATCTGATGGCCTGAGAAGATTCTAATTAATCACCACACCCTCCAATTTATATTCCACTTCCCCTCATCCCTACTGAGCGTAGCATGCATATAGAAATGAAAATTGCGCGTTCTGGACATGCCTTCATGTCCTTGCTATCACTGCAGGGATTGCATAGGTCACTGTGATTGTAAGGGCTGAGGCCTAATATCTGAATTAAATAAAGATTTAACCTTTTAAACTGCAAGGTCATGTATGTGGGCCCAAACTTTAATTCCTCACTCTCATAACTACGTAACTTTAGTTTAAGAGTAGTTTTTGCAGTATTTAGGCCTACTGAATATTAAGCCAGTTCATCACTTAGAATTTGCACTTATCATTGGTGATAAAAATGTTAGGTCATTTGATATTATTTATTACTCACAGCTCACGCTTCAAAGCTTAAAAAGTTGAGAAAATACAAAATTTAGTTTGTTACACGAAGAGAATATATTTTATTAGAATTTGAAAAGAAAAAAGAAAAAATTACTGTTTTTTTTGTTAGTTTTTTGAATCTCAAAACAGAAGAAAGCCAGAAAACTCCAATTCGTTGATACAGAGCATAAATGAAAAGTACATGTAATTCACTGAGTAACTTCTATGTTACTAAAGGTCCCAAATACTCTCACTTTTTTATATAAAGGAAATCATCATGCTCAAAAACAGCTCATTTTGAAGTCATTGTTTCTGTGATGTCACAAGAATGAGCTCATTTACTTATATCCACCTGTACTGCCTACAGTAGTTGGCCCTACTCTTCGATGCTGAAGTTATAAGAAGTTTAATCTCTGAGTGCTTTTTTGAATGAGGCACAGTACAGGACAGCCAATCAGAACGGAGCTCATTTACATATAACAACAGTCTTAAAGGCGCAGCAACAAAAAAGCCTGTTTAATTCTAAGGGATAAAGTAAGGCTGGAAAATGGCAATATAAAAATTAATTATGACCATTTTTGGTACATAAAACCAAACAAATGGTACATAAAACCTCGAATAATGTGTTCCCTTAAGGGAAAAATATAAAATGCAAAAAAATTGTAGGAAAATATGTAATTCGGCTTACACATTTGAACAGCATAGCAAAACAAAATTACAAATCTAGATTTTTGTGGGTTAAGGCATTAAAATGCAGTTGCATTTTGCATATAAATCAATCAATAAAACTATATCTATAACTCACAGACAGGCGGCAGTTCGTACTCCACCTCCAGGACCACCCGTTCCCCCACATTCTTCAACAGGCTAATGATTTCATCGTGACGGAACTTGGTCAGGTTGATGCCGTTGACAGACTTGATGTAGTCTCCTACGTTCAGCTGGTCACTCCTGTGCAGGAAGATGGGATGGTAAAACCAAGTTAAGAGAGTGGAGAAACAGATTGAAAATGAAAAAAGGAGAAAAAGAAAAGAGTACAAATGAAGGAGGATGTGAAGTAAGAGGAGACGAGAACGAAAGATAAAGAGCGAGGTGCAGACAATGGGAGGGAAATTGGGCAGGGGCAGGAAAGAAATAGCAGTAAAATGGGAGAATGAAGAGAGAAAGAGAAAGGGGGGAAAAAAAGAGATGAGGAGGAGATTGAGTCAGGTGAAGCGCTGAGCTTTGATAGCTGCTTTGAAAAGATGAAGAGAAGGCTTTGTTCTAAGGAAACATCCACGGAGGAGGGAGCCACAGTGTTCCCTCTCTCATACACATTTGAAAGTACTCCAATTTTTAGCAGGCTGTTGACAGATGTAGAAAAACAAGTGTGATATGGAGCAGCTATTTCTAGTGTTTGCCAGATGTGCAATGTTAATAGCTAACGCTCCATGCTAACACTGACGTCACACACAGTGACACTAAGTATAGCAAAATACAAAACACATTGCAACATATCCTCCTAGAATGACACACACGCACACACACACACATACATATATATATATGTACACATATCCTAAACACATTCAATGATATTGAGGTCTGGGCTCTGAGGTTTATAATGCATTGTTCATCAGTAACTTCTTGTTTGATAAGTACGTTGTGATCTATAAGCTGTGTGCTTCAGGTTCTTATCATCCTGTAGAATGAACTTCTACAAACGCTTTCCAGAAGGTACTGCATGACTGTTTACTGTTTTTTTCCTGACAATGAAAAATTAACAACTTGTACTTAGGAGCTGTTTTGACTCGCAATTAAATAAACAAAAGAAAGGACTTCTGTACAGTGATGTATATACAACCATAGTGTGTGTACGGTATTATGTATGTACAGTACTGTTCTAAAGTTTGGAACCACCTGCTGTATTATAAATTTGTTTAATTTTATATATGAAAATAACTTATACAACACAGATTTCAATCTAATCAGCTCCAACAAGGTATTTCTAGATGTTTTATCTAAAACATTTAAGAATGTTGAGTTATTAGACACTAAGTTCTATACTGTAATTATGCACTTACAATAATTTTTTACCACTTTTTTGTAACATTTGATTACCATACGGGGCATTCTGGATGTTTTTTATACACCTTTCTCTCTGTGTGTGTATATACAGTTCTGTGAAAAAGTATTTGCCCCTCACTCAATTTCTTCTGTTTATGCTAATTTGTCACACACAAGTGTGTCACATCATCTGACTAATTTTAATACAAGATAAAGAAATTGGGAAGGGGTGCATACTTTTTCACAAAACTGTGTGTATATATATATACATATACTCCACTGTGCTCTTCTACAGTCATGTAAACCTATATTCAACACACACATGTAAAGGTTTAGCTTCTTAGGGAGTGAGAGCTGATGACGTGTGTGGGGAGGTGACCCCTGAGTGTGCTTTCAGCAGCCTGCACACACACACAGCCAACAGGGAGGAAAGAAATAAGTCCAGCCACACAGCCTTGATTTAGAGTTCCTGTCTGGTCATGTACACACACACAAGCACGGTGGGGCACTCACTTTGTCCCCATGTAATACTCAATCCCATTAAATTGCCCATACCATACAAAAGACAAGCCCCAAAATACCAGATTCATGTCACAGCGATACTCGGCAAAGAATCAAATTTCCACAATTTTCCTTTTTTGCCCAAATGTGGTCAATTAGTCAATACATGTTTGATGTCCAGTTTGATGTCTAGTTTTCAGTGGAGCTACAAGGCTAATGTAGCTAACAAGTTACAGAAATGTTATGTACACCCATTAGCATTGTGCAAACCATGAGGTTTCTGACACTGGATCATATATGATTATCTACAAAAATGAACAAAATAAGGCCACCTTAAAGAACCCCTACACTCAAAAATGTGTTTTTTCAATGGTTAACTTCTCCTGGATGGCTTATTCTAATTACACAGATTGCTATTTGCGTCAAACATGTTTCCACAATGCAGTTAACATTTTTCCAATGAAAACCCAGGCTTTCTCACTACTTCTGTAAAAAAAACAATTTGCAGTGCGCTACATAGCAGCTAATGAGAGGATCACAACGTGGTGTCAGGAAACTTACACCTATTGAGCATGTCTGTGCTAACGCAGCTAACTTGTTTGAGATGTTTGGACTGTGTAGTCGGGGGTTAGCTTAATTAGATAAATCAATTCTTCATTTAAAATTAAAAGTGTCAAATTTGTCTTCCACATCTAACTCATAAACTGTTGAATATGGTATGGTGAGCCATATAACTTTGGTAGAGTTATCCAAGTAGCAGGTAGCAGTTGTTTAGCATGCAACAGCACAGGTTTGTTTCTGGCTCACTGAAGCTTCGCTGATTCGAGTTTACAGGACAAAGCCTGAAATCTGAGGGAGTGAAGTGTTTTTGCTAGCACTAGGAGCTAGAGTTAGCTTAGCAAGCAGGCTAACCACACACCTCAATGCAGGTTCAACTGAGGCTCACTGATGCTTCATTTGCGCAAGTTCAGAAAATAAAGGCTTAATCTGAGGCAGAAAACTTTTGTGTGTGTGTGTGTGTGTGTGTGTGTGTGTGTGTGTGTGTGTGGAGTTGTTGTCAAAGCTTGTTCCACTATCCTGTCCTTGCTAGCAACAGAGGCTAGTGTTAGCACAGCGGGCAGACTAAAACAGTTTCACACATCAGTACAGGGGTTCAATACCTACAAGTTTAGAGGATAAAGACTCAAAACCGAGTGAATGAGTTAAGTGGTAAAGCTAGCACTACCATAATCAACTCCACTGTGCTCTCTTTAGCACTATGCAACAGTTAGCAATTGTTGCTCATTTATAATTGAACATTTATGGCATGATGAATAGAGAATTTCATTAGTCTATTTTCCAATTATTGATGTTACAGTAGGGGAATGTTTTTACTGCTTCTCTGCTCCATTTCATCTGCTCCTTTGAGTAGGGTCTGAAAATCAGGAGGCAAATTCTGCATATTCACAAATCTTTGCATAGCTGAAAGTCTGAAATTTGTCTGTCCTTTTTCTATTTTTATAGATAACAGCATGTAATACAACATCAGAACCCAGATAAGCAAGTCTGCTTGACATTACTTAACAACATGGTTTGAGGCAAGTGGTGATAATTCAGATATGCAGTTTGCACAATGCTAACTGGTGTGCATTAGTTTCCATTACTTGTGAGCTACATTAGCATTGCAGCTCCTGTGCAAAACTGCCCAGGCAAACTTAGGATGCCAAACCTGTCTTGGCTGATCAAATACATTTGAGTTAAGGGAAGAATTGTGTAAATATGACTGTTTTGCCAAACAATGCCTTTAACTTCAACATGCTGTAGTGTACTGAGGGCATGCACTCACCTGGCTGCAATGCCTCCCTGGCGGAGGTTGGAGACGCGGGGCTTGCCGTCCTTGTCGATGCCGCCGGACACAGTCAGGCCCAGGGTGGTGCCCTCTTTCTTCATCAGCTCCACGATGCTGGAGCCCTTAAACTCGTCTGCAGGGCAGGGAGGGGAGGGGTTAGAGCAGGAGCAGGACAGGCAGGACAAGAGCGGCCAGCAGTAGCAGAGGCGGCCCGCAGCCGCCATGCCGCCCCGTCTGCTCTCTGAAGAGTCTGAGTCTTCCCCCCTCTCTCTCTTTTTCTCTCTCTCTCTCTCTCACTCACACGCGTACACTATCTCCCTCTCTCACAGCTCTGACCAGTAATTAGAGAAACACTCAAGAGGATTCAGGCAGAGATAGAGTGAGAGAGAGAGAGTGAGAGTGTGTGTGAGAGAGAGAGAGCCCAGAGTGTGTGAGAGAGAGAGAGAGAGAGAGAGAGAGAGAGACAGACAGACAGAGAGAAAGGATGGAAATTTCTGAGAAAATGGAAAAACAAGCTAGAAAGAGATGAGGAGAACATTTCTGAGAGCAATCCTGTTCAAGAAAAAAGAGAAGGAGGGGATGGGAGAAAGCATGAGTTTCTCTTTCTCTCTCCCACCCTTTCTCACTCCCTCTCTTTCTCTAACAATTATTGCTGGTCAGGCAGACACACCCCTCCCCATCCTCTCTCCTCCATCGATGTGCTGTCATTCAATCCCTCCCTGAGATCATCACAGCCACATTAAGCAGGGATGCCTCTCGCATAGGCATGCTCCCCATCCTCCCCCCAGCTCCTCCATTGCCCTCAGATACAAAATACCACGCCTCTCCCGTAACCACTCACAGGCGTTTCAACTAGTTCAACTGCTTTTTTAAAACAGCATTTTAAAGCATTTTGTAATGATTTACATAATTCCTAATTCAGTTCGATGCAATGTGGTGGTGTCTCCGTTTTCGGATAAAGTGCAGGATTGAGTGCAGGAAAATCTGTCTAATGCTAACATGTTAATGTTGCCATTTTCAGTTAATGACAGCATTAACATTGTAAAATTACAATACTTCATAATAATGCAGTGACCAAATTAGCTTGGCCGCTCTGCTCTCAATTTTGAGGCATCTGTTGAATGTATTGTTCAATGCCTGTGTGTATTGAACTGGGAGGTTCACATTGAATGTTACAATACAATGTACTGCTACACCACTAACATTCTGATGCCCTAATGAAAGAATAAACAGAAAAGGAAGGTTTATCATTTGTTTATTGTGTGCACCATACTTGACTGCCTGATTTAGGAATTTATCTTTTTGTTTAATGTGACGCATACTTTCAGCTCCACAACAGAACTCTAACTTGTGCAACTTACATTGTACAAATTATATTTTCATTTAAAAAGTGTCCATATAGCCTATATCACCTACAGCTTACATATAGCTTATACATCAGTGTAGCTTATTCACCATTTCATGAATGAGATTTCATTAGTTTATCCAGCTAACTGCTGAACAGACCAAAAAGCAATGAAAGTGTGTGATTTTGATGAGCCAGCCTAGCCTAGATTTGCACTGACATTCCGCACTATCTGTTCCTCTAAAGTCCTGAGGACTACTCTAAACTCTCAAGAAATCACATTTCACCAAATCTCTGTACAGCAAACGACCGACTGTCGGTGATCACTTCAATAAAACCTGTGCAGCAAAAAAAAATAAAAAAAAATAAAAAAAATCAGCATCTCCGAGGGGCTCCAATTACATAAATGAGTGCTAACATGAGCTCAGATTTGTTTACCAGCAGATTTCTGTCTTGAGATTGAGCAATCATTTTTAAACCTGAAAACACCATGTAGCACAAAATATTTAGCTAGTTATAATTTATAGAATTTTATCAGCTCCACTTATTATATAGGTGCACTTTGTAGTTCTACAATTACAGATTGTAGTCCATCTGTTTCTCTGCATACCTTGTTAGCCCCCTTTTACCCTGTTCTTCAGTGGTCAGGACCCCCATGGACCCTCACAGAGCAGGTACTATTTGGGTGGTGGATCATTCTCAGCACTGCAGTAACACTGACGTGGTGGTGGTGTGTTAGTGTGTGTTGTGCCGGTCTGATTGGATCAGACACAGCAGTGCTGCTGGAGTTTTTAAACACTGTGTCCACTCACTGTCCTCTCTATTAGATGCATCTGCGTTGTTGGTCTACCTTGTAGACGTAAAGCCAGAGACAATAGCTCATCTCTTGCTGTACAGTATGAGCTAATCATCCTATAGTCGTTCATTGGTGGTCATAGGATGCTGCCCACAGGATGCTGTTGACTGGATAATTTTGGTTGGTGGACTATTCTCAGTCCAGCAGTGACACCGAGGTATTTAAAAACTCCAGCAGCACTGCTGTGTCAGATCCACTCAGACCAGCGCAACACACACTAACACAAAATATCTTTCATGAATATATTTTTACTGAGCATATTTTATTGAACTGAAAATGATTTGACTATTTATCCATAGTCATTGCATTCAACTAAACCAGCTATAACTTATTTGTGTTTGACATTTTACATAGTGTAGCATCTCGCTACCAGCTCATTCGGCCGTGGACACGCGGGAGGCGTGGCCATGCAGAGCAGCAAGTGTGGTGTGCCATGGGTATTGCCATGGCAGCAGTGAGAGAGACTTAAAACATGTTAATAGTTGTTGTGGCTTAAACGCTGTATGTATGTGCTTGTTGGGCTATTCTGTGGGTTTATGGGGTAGTTATGCAGTGTCAATGCCTACCGTCCAGTATGGATGTGCTGTTATTGATGACCTGCCTGCTATCCTAGCTGTTCAGTAGCGCTGAGCAGCAGATTTCCCCTGCTGTATGTAAATAAAAGAGCATGAGTTTGAAGCGCTATGGTTCCCATGCTGCCTTCTTCTATGCCAACGCCATAATGTATATAGATAATAATAACCATTACATTTAATCGCCTTTGCTGATGAAACTTGTGTTAATTTAGGCTACAATGTTAGTGGCTTAAATATTGAATATTATACAGAGAAAAAAATACTAACATCACAAATGAACTTTGTGGTAAATGTTTAAACCAATCCAACTGAAATGGTGTTTTCAAATGACCTATTACATTAGTGGTATTACAACCCCATTCCCAAAAAAGTTGGGACGTTGTGCAGAATGTAAATAAAAATAGGATGCAATAATACGCAAATCATGTAAATCACATTTTTAAAGGAAAATACTACAAAGACAACATATCAGATGTTGAAACAGAAAGTTTATTGTGTTTTGAAAAATATTTGCCCATTTTGAATTTGATGCCAACAACACATTCCAAAAAAGTTGGGATGGGGGCATGTTTACCACTGTATTTCATCACCTCTTCTTTTGGTCTTTAGCCCGGAGGATACAGCCTCAATGATTTCCAAAAAGAAATTCAAATGTTGATTCGTCGGACCACAGGACACTTTTCCACTTCCGCTCTGTCCACTTTAACTGAGCTCAGGCCCAGAGAAGGTGGCAGCATTCCTGGATCCTGTTTATATATGGGTTCTTATTTGCATTTTAGAGTTTTAATTTGCATTTGTGGATGCAGTGATGAACTGTTTTCACAGACAGTGGTTTTCAGAAGTATTCCTGAACCCATGCAGTGATTTCCACTACAGAATCGTGTTTTTAATGCAGTGCTGTCTGAGGGCCCAAACATCACGGCTAGCAAATACTGATTTTTGGCTTTGTCCCCTGCATACAGAGATTTCTCCAGATTCTCTGAATCTTTTAATATTGTTATGTACCATAGAAGATGAAAAGCAGAATTTCTTTGCTGTTTTACATTGAGAAACGTTATTCTTGAATTGTTGCACTATTTGCTCATGCAGTCTTTCACAGAGTGGTGAACCCCTCCTCATCTTTACTTCTGAAAGACTCAGCTTCTCTGAGATGCTTTTTTATACCCTATCATGTTACTGACCTGTTGCCAATTAATAACCAGGTGTTTTTTTAGCATTACACAACTTTACCAGCCTTTTGCTTCCCCTGTCCAAACTTTTTTGGAACATGTTGCCGGCTTCAAATTCAAAATTTTCTAATTTTTGGACAAACAATATGTTGTACACCTCTGGTCACAACTGCAGTGATTCACTTTAGTGGTCACAGCATGTACACTCCAGCCATGGTGGGGACAGATTTGAAACTTAGCCCTAAACGGGGCCATATGGATTGTGGTGGGGGGTAGGGATGTCATAACATGCCCCAGGGCAGACAGGGGTCAGCGGGATTGCCGATTCCTGACCTGCCCTTGAACTGGGTCTGCAGCCTCTCCGTGAAGGATGGTGCAGAATGCTGAGAGACAGGGTACGAGCTGCATTCTGACAACAGCCAGCACAGCAACCCATTAAAGAACACAGAGGTGGTATATTATAAACAATAATGAGAGAAGAAATAATTATCTAAATAACTCTAGAAAAAGGTGAATGCAGTGTGTGTCAAACAGTGGCTTACAGAATTGACTGGTACATTATATCTGAAGAGAAACTGATACACTGTGTTTAATTTTTCCCCCTCAGCTCCACTTATGGTGTTTTGTGAGTTTATGAACCAACAGCAGCCAACAATCAATTTTACTTGACTTCTACTCTGGAATTAAATAGGCTGTTTTTGATAGTGTGCCTTTAAAATCGATATATGTACATAATCTCTGTTCTGATTGAATGCCCTGCATTGTGCAGCCCAGGTGGAAACGCTCAGTGTGAACAAGAAGAGCTCAAACTATTGTAGGCTAAATACAATTGTATTCAAAATCCTGTAGGTGGACATATGTAAGATACATGTAGCATATATGCAGCTCGTATCTGGGCTGTATGGACTGGGAAGTGAATAGAGCACTCTAAAATTCTTTGGATGTATAAATACTACATCAAATTTTAGACTTATTTTTAAAAGTGAGCAACATTTGGTCTTACACTATATAGGCCCTTTAAGAAATAGGTTAAGGGTGCAGGGGGCTCATGCTGTTCACACTCCTTTTTCTGAAGGCAGAAAAAACAAAGTCCACTGCATGGTCTTTTTTGGAGGTGCTGTGTTTTTCAAGTGGTGTTTCTGGCTGCGCATCTCCCTCTTGTTAAGTAAGAATAGCGCTGTAACAGTC